TGAACGCAGTATCGACGTGTCGAAATACATTCAATTTTTCAATTATCTTGTAATATTCAGACATTATTTTACTGGGGACGGAAAGGAGAGTTGTATACTAGCTACCATATCCGATTGATTTCCTAATATAAAGATTTAAAAACAAAAGTTGTGTCGGGGTTTTCTTTAGTTATCAAACAAAACGTGAGTCACTAGTCGCCAGCTGGCAACCAGTTCTGAAAATTTAGTCGCCAGTGCTCAGTTTTTGGTCGCATTGGCGACTAGTGAGTCGCAATTTCGAGCCCTGACCAATATAGTTCTTGTCCCTGTCACTTTGCCACCTACATGTACCTGATTGTACACGTACATGCTCAGATTTAACTCGCGCTGCATGTTTTTTATTGCTATCGTTATTGTTGTTCTCCCTTTACGCTACTTTTAAAATATCTCAGTGTTTCAAAACTGACTTGATATTCTTTGTTTTCTGAATTACTCCCCCCTGGATGAGATGCTAGTCTATTGCAGGGATACCCTCAGCATTACATGTAAATTTGCTGGTGCCCATTGTTGGGGTGAAGTATAAGTACCTTGCCCAATGACGCAACACAATGTCCCTGGCCAGGGCTTGAACCTGGGCTACTAGATCTGAAGTAGAGCACACTGACCATGAGGTCACCACCACATCAGAACAAAGTAAATTCCAAATTGTGCTGCAGGGTATAACTGAACCACAGCATAGCTGTTGTGGTATACGTTTGGCTGTTGTTGCAGAGTCAAGTTGTCTGTTTGTTTACCATTGGAAGAGCTCACATTGTTTCTTATGTCAAGAGAAGTGATTCTCATGTCAGGAGACATAACATAGTCTCATCTGGATGAGATCAAAAGTATATCATCCTGCAAGAGACTATGTACATACAACATGTACATTGTGTATAACCTGTAATCTGCAATGTGGCTCGATCAAAGTTGTGCCAAGGTGATACATAAACTTGTGTGAAATGTGTGTCAAAATGCAGTTGTACCAGTTTAAAATTTAGAAATTTTAATAATAGTGACATTTTCTTTACTGTACAATAAAGTAATTTGATTTGATTAATTACATGTTTTGCAGGGAAATAATTTGACTGGAAAAAGGCTAGACCATCAAAGGCCAAATGGACTTCAGAAAAGTCAGTTTTTTGTCATTGCCAAGTAAGTCTTAAAGTAAAAAACTAAGACAGTGCTTTTGCCAGACTACTTCAAGTGCCTGTGTGCTAAATTATAAAAGTACATGTAGTAAAATTCTCAAAGTAATGACCCTTGATATCAAAGAGATGTAACACAAAACTTCATGAGATTACAGTACATGTATGAGACAAAGAAAAGAATGAAGGAGGGTTGATGAATGCTGGGTTGGTCCTGTGGTGTTATAAATGGTTGAAATACACAGACGAATAAAAAATGTCACCAAGATTAGGGTTTGTGCGGTTTTTCATACTGCACCATTCAGAGAAATGTTTCACCCAAATTTATTGAGCTTGGTATGGAGGCACCATGTTGTTGTCCCTCAGTCAGTCAGGGAATCACTGGGAATCACTGAGAGGCCAAGATCCTTGTTCTGAAATGCAAAAGAAATCCAAGCTACATGTACATTTGAAGTTGCTGGTTTCACATGATCATTAATTTTTACAAGGGGCCACTTTGTGGGAGGATTGTACTTTCAGACTGCTTTTAATTTATGGTCAATTATTTAAATTTAATTTTGTTAATTAAATCAAATACATCTACTTCAGGCACATCGGAAAGGACATCAGCAACACTTTTGCAAAACTGGAAAAGCTTGCTATCTGTGAGTTAACATGATCAATTTCATTAGATAATGACTTGATATACATGTATATATGCAAATTATAACCCTTTTTGAATTCATAGTTTTATGTCAAGAGCCTGTTGAAAACAGATCAGTTCAACTCTTCAACCTAAAGCAATCCTTATTTACATATCAGAGCTGTCATTAAGTTCTAACTCACCCCTTGATCTTCACACCTGTAGCAAACTTGTTACATTTTGAGTGAATTGTATCAACTACAGGCCTGTTAACCCATAACATCAAGGGTCCATCAAACATACTCAGCCATAACAGGTGTTGCGGGTTACAGCCCTTATTGACAGCCCTGCATATTGTCATCATCATTGATAGTTGTAACTGAGTGTTTCAAATAGGCCAAAAATATATCTTAAATCATCCAGTAAATATCAATTTCACCTTCATAGCATTATTTGATTATTTCTAAAATAGCTTGCTACTTGTAGTTCATACTTCTGTATTGCCTTAATATACACTGTAACAAAATCTTATACAATTATGTAAGTTTATAATATTATAATATATACTAGATAATTATGTATGTTACACATTTTATTTCAATGATACAATGTAGTGGCCAAGAAGAAATCATTATTTGATGACAGACCCATGGAAATTCAAGAGCTGACTTACATAATAAAGCAGGTACACTGTACAGTCTATTTGTTTTTAGTTGAAATCAGAGAAATAACTTTCAAAATACAGTTTGTTGCCCAGCATTGTTGATAATGGTCTTGAAAATTTGGCACAATGATGGCCAAGAAATTTGTAATAACAATTATAAGCTTGTATGTGTAGAACCAAGTTCAGTTACATTTTAATGTGTAGCCCTGATCACACACTCGTCAGATATTTCTGTGACTCTTTTAACTACAATCCAAGACCTTCACTCTTCCCTTTCACTTTTAGTCAGGATAGCAATTTAGCTTTAATCATCAGACTAAAAGCTATAAAAAGTTATATTTTATTTATTTATTTATTTACTGACAGTATGTACATGTAAGTATGTCACAAGTTAATGATGGACAATACAATTTTGTTTGGTGTTGCAGGACATTAATAGTCTCAACCAACAAATTGCCCAGTTACAAGAGGTATGTTTGATGTAGGGTACTTTTTCCATGACTAAAATATACACTGTAACTACAGTATGCATCTTTGCAGTAAATTCAATTTGTTAAGAGAACACTGCGTAAGAAAGTGCATGCTAAAAGCTATATCTAGAAACACAGAACTTACACAAGCTGTTATTATAACTCACTCTAACAAAATTATTGATAATTTACATTTTGATGATCATCAGTGTCTTCTAAAAGAAACAGAAAACACTATCCTTTTATAAAAGCACTCCAGAATGATACAAAGGATAATGCAAAAAAGGTGTGGTCAGAGCACTTCACTGTGGTTCTTGATCCCATGTCATTTTTTCATCCTCCCAGGCTTCCACTTGTGATTCTTAATATAACTCTTAAAATAGAGAAACAAGAGATTTTTTGCATGATTGTTAAGTCAATTTCTGATTATTTAAAATACTGTTAAATTGAACGAAACCTCCACAGATAGAGAATAACACCAAAATTGTCAGTTCATTGATGCTGTTTTCACAGTTATCATCATAATGGTTTGATTGTTTGTTTGTTTGTTTGTTTGTTTGTTTGTTTCAGCTTGTGAGGTCAAAAGCCAGTACACAGGGGAAGCATTTACAAACTCACTCCAGTACAGTGGTGCTCTCACTTCAGGTCTGTACAGCAGAATAATGATGTGGCAAATGACTATATGCGGTCCTATGCCCCACTGGGGGCTATAAGGAATGTTGACGAAATGACTAAACCAAGAGTGTACTAAAACAATTACACATAGACTACTCTCCCTCATTTTCTATGAGTGATAGTCAACTCTGCTACGCCATGCACAGGATAAATGTAAAATAATTTACCTGTCATTTTGGCTATTTATTTCTTAAAACATGGCCTTATATCTCTGTCATTTTAAAATAACTACTTACTACATTTGTATCTTCCTTTGTTGAACATTTATCACCATAATCCTAAAGCAAAGAAAGATACAAATATAACTAGTCTGAAATCATTTTGACCTGAAATCATTTTCAACTACAGCATATACATTTGTAACATGCTGTAATTAGATGTACACCTGTGATTTGCCTATGCACCCTACATCAGTTTAGTAATAACTTGCTAGTTTCATGAACTTGTAAAACTGTAACATTTCTTATATAAATACATGTACACTATACATGTATGTACAAACTATCAATTTAGTGTTTACATAACTCTGCTCTAATGTTGCAGTCAAAATTAGCAAGAATGTCCAAGGATTTTAAAGGTGTCCTGGAAGTGAGAACAGAGGTAAGCAACATCCTCATATGTCAGTTCTTTGTTAGTGTTATTGCTCTAACTATGTGGATCATTTGCTTTGTCACTATATTATTACAAGTAGTTACACTAGTCACTGTGTTTGAGTGTTTAGTACATGTGTTTTGTAGTCAACAAATATTACTGTCTTCAAGGGATACTGCAAATTATTTCACAGGAGAAATTTTCAGTGTTCTAAGTCTAGGGTTTGCAATGTAATAACTTGGATTGCATCATTTTGTAAACATGTATCCCTCAGTCACAGCCACTGTCTACCACTGCATTTTTCTTTTAATTCATTATTAGAAGGTTTAGTTGATTTTTATCCATCTTGATGTTCTGAAAGTAATTTTGTGCTTCAGTCTACATCAAGACAATATCACCTACCGTAACCTACTTTGTTGATTTTCCTACTTCTCATTACCTGCCTTCCTGATGATGTCCTGTATTGTTAGGAGAAAGTAATGCTTGGCAACTGAATGTTTGTTGAACTATTTAATTCAACAGAACCTCAAACAGCAAAAGGAGAGAAGAGAACAGTTCTCTCAAGGAAGTGCAGTAGACAGCCTGCCTCCAGCTTCCATACCAGGCTCTGTCCTGCAAAGATCCAGTGCATCAAGGAACATGGGGCAAGGAGGCGATGCTGCAGTTGCAATAGACATGGATCACATGGATGCAAGACCACCAATGTCTAATGACATGAGCCAAATGCAGCTGGTAGAACAGCAGGTTAGAAGTAGGGTCTTAGAGACTACGCAGGGATTTCATTAACGTTTTCAGCAGGATAGCAACTAGTTTTCACAGGCGGGCAAAACTTTTTGTACTGAAATGCTTTATAAAACTTTCATCCAGATGGTCAAACCAGGTGGGCAAAATCATCCTCACAACCGGTTAACTTGCCTGGTACATGGTCCTTAATGAAATCCCAGGATTATGGTCGCATGATTTTTAGGATAATGCTATTTATACCATGTCATAGAAAATGCAGCCTGGAATCAGAATCCAGCAAAGCCTTGTACATGTACGTGTAAACTCAACAGTATTACGCCTTACTTTCGTTAGTGCGCTCCACGTATGTCACATTGATTGTGGTGGTCACTATTTTTTATGGAGAGGTACGAAATAGTTCTAATCAAACGCTTCCTTATAATATTGGGTAACCTTGTAACTAAGTACAGAGAAGTTGTTGTCTTGAAGTGCACAGTGTACATTGCACATGGTCTCATTGTGATATAGAAAGAATTGATAAGGGTATTTCCTTTCCTCACCCCTGACAGGATTGATTACATGCATTTACATCAGTAAGCTGCTATTTATTAACTAACCTGTTTATCGTGTCTTGTCACTAGGATGAATACATTCAAAGCCGGGCTTCAGCCATGGAGAACATTGAGTCAACAATTGTAGAACTTGGCAGCATATTTCAAGAGCTTGCTCACATGGTTAAGGAGCAGGAGGAGCAGATTGAAAGGTTTGGAGATAACGCATACAGATCTCTAGTCTATGTTCATAATTTCTGGCAAGGCTTGACCTGGTTTTTAACCACTATGGTAAAGCGAAGACCAAAGGACATTTGTAATGACATCTGGCCAATCGAAAATAAAACAACTAATAATAATGCAATAAAACTAACGAAACTCAAACTCAAAGCAAAAACATGCTACTGGTCTCGCAGCTGGTGCTGTGCGCGGGAAAATAGGCAACCAGTGCCAAGGGTTTGAAAAAAATGTAACTAGTACTAAGCGCGAGAAAAGAGGCAGCCAGTGTCGAGCGCGGGGAAACAGGAATCCAGTGCCAAGCACTGGAAAAAAAGGTAGCCAGTAGTAAGCGTGGGGAAACAGGCAACGAGTGAAGTTGTGGAAAACAGGCAACTAGTAATAAGCATGTGGAAACTGGCAACCGGTTGTCTCTGGTGCTGAAAAGCTTACGCAGCGTAAGCAAATGTAAATTCCATTGTATTTTAAAATTATTTTCGGCGCCCTTGCTGCTAATTTGTTTCCAAAGCCATTTGAAGCCGGCTAATGCGTGTTTGTCTCTGTTTATAGGATTGATGCTAATGTAGAAGCAACAGAGCTGAATGTGGAAGCGGCGCACGGTGAACTGTTGAAATATTTTCAATCAGTCACATCCAACAGATGGTTAATTGTCAAAATATTCTGCGTTCTCATCGTCTTCTTCATCGTCTTTGTCGTCTTCATGGCTTGAAGTTCAGTCGTACTTGTATCTGTATCCTGTGCCATCCTGGGCAGTTCATGTGCGAAGTTTTTGATTCACTTTTGACACCTTTGTAACAGCTTCTATTTGTTTTGACCACTTTAAGGAGCTCAGTCACGGTATTTTGGGCACGTACAGAATGACCTTTAAATTGAAGGAAACCTGAAAATAATAGTTTACTAACAGTAAGGTAGAAAAAAACAAAAAAAACAAATAGGTAATAATAAACCATAAAGGAACAAGGATGGTCAAGATTGACACGGATTGCAAACGACGAACTTGACGGCTAAACTTCTCAAAATGCGCAACCGTGACGTAGCTCCTTTGAAGTCACACGAGAGTGGACTTGACACGGCGACCGGCGCCTGTGGCATATCTTTTGTTTACCATGGTAACTTTTATCCTACATTTTCGTTCGTTAAATCAAAAGGAACCCTACTAAAATATAACAAAATTGATCAAAAACTTCGTCGCGTAGCAACGGCACGGCGCGTTTTATTGTGTAGTACACTGTAGTCACTGCCAGGGCGTCACGTTGCGCGGGCGTGACTACTGTACAGCGGGACCTCTGTTGAAGTAACACAGATGGAAGACAGGGTTGCATGGATAAGATTAAAAATTAATTTTGTAGTTTAGTGTTGTAGATAGAGGTTAGCAGGGAGAAGAGTCTGGCAAACTATTTACGACAGTCTCAAGACACAAATGATAGACTCAGACTCGTCCAATTGAACCGCAAAACTGAGATTTTATTGTAGTACTTCAGAATTGTGATACAGTCAAACCCATTTACATCACGTGATATATTTACCTCCATCACGTGAGTAATACTTTGTGATGGATGTTTTTGCTCACGTGGTCCAAATCACGTGGCATGTGATGCAAGCATGGGTTTGAAGCAGCCTTGCAATCACGTGAACAGTGGTGCGATAAAAACTCGAGTTTCGCGAGTTTCGCGTACCAATGAGATGAGTTGACCTTCCAATTTCAAAATAATGGAAATAAGTGATAGTAATCTTTGCCCTCTGAAGTTCGGTTCTTTCTCGCTGACAAATAGAGTTATCTGCCAAGTTGGCGAGACTTTTTACACGAAAATATTTCCGCCAGCAGTTGACAGTTACTGACAGACATTCATTGTACATACACTATTAAGACGTGATGGCATCACTTTGCAAATCACTGTGCTTACATTAGTTGTGTATCGTTGTTCAAACCTAGTCGACTTCCGACTTCCTTTTTGGAGAAACATAAGCTCTGTTGTAGTGGGGAAGGGGGGAAGGGACGAGGGGAAGCTTATTTTCCGTTCATTTATCCTAAATTGTGCGGCAGGTAGGCTCAGAAGATTGGATAAAGTTCAATTGATTGGCTAACTTGCTCGAACACTGTCAGGAGATTTATATTTAAAGGAAGGTTTATCAGGTAGGAGGGAGGGAATATGAAGGAATTGAGAGAAGCAATGGCATAGAGTGTTTTCACATGACGTCGCGGCAGCCATCTTGGTCTCTCGAAAGAAAGAAAACGGCGGCCATGTTGGTGTACCAAACCAATCCTGTGGGAGTTGAACTCTTTTCGTATGAAAACACTTTCTTTTGTTCCAATAAATTCGGATAGCTGCTGTGCCACGTGACTGTAAACGCTCTATTATTTTGATTTTGTATTACCAAATAGATGAACCTAATGTATGTTTCAAAATAAGAACGATTAACAATACTTTAACCGTACATTAACAATACTTGAGGACGTTGATGATTGAGACATAAATTGATAAAGATGAAATACTTAACTAAGGAACCGAAGAGGTGTCCTTGATGCGACTGGAATACTCAAGGGTGGGGTGGGATAAGTGGACCGTGTTAGGAGGGAGGGGAGGGGAGGGAGAGGTAGAATTAGACATGTCACAATCATCAATTTTATTCTCTCACTCTGACATAATGAGTGGTAGCAGCTGTTATGAATTGACATGTCTTGGAATAAAATGGTGCTCACATCTAAGACTTAGAATTTTGTGATTCGCTTGTCTTATGGACAACTAATAGAAAGATCGTCCCAAGAAAGCTTTTCCAAAATGTTTTTAAAAAAAATGAAACGATATAAAGCTAGAACAAATGAGTATAGATTATCGTAATGCGCTTGCAATTAAGGATTAACAGTACGAGTGATATTTGGAACCCAAATTTGCACTGACCTTTGTAAGAATTTTCAGATATCTCGAGTAGTGTAAATTCTCAATTAATTTCTCACGCCTTCATACCATTACTCTTCTGTTACATTGCTTAGAATATTACGCTTGCGCATACGTACCTATCCTAGTCCCAAAACTGGGACTTTGATTTCTTGGTCTCGCTTTTCGGGCGTTCTCCGCTGACGGAAAGCGCGAGCTCTGGGTATGAGATCATCCTCGTTCCCATTGCTACTCGTTTTATAATGGCCACGTGACCAAGAGAAACAGAGGCTCTGGCAAGAGAATGGGTATGCGAGGGGAAAAAATGACTTCGGTTGCGCAGTTGAAGTAAAGGGTTTCAATCTCGTCAAATGATCCTGCGCTTTTTGGTAAGTGGTCAAAGAAGACCGGCTCTCTGAACGAAATCAATATTGGTCCTAAAAAGAGTATCTCGGCTTCTAGAACATTACTTTTGGGCGTGCTTTTTAATGAATGGTTCTGGGACGAGACTGGCTTATAAGTCCACTTGCAGTTGTGTTATGTGTGGATTTGCGTGGGAGCAACGACAAGCACATATTGTAAACGTCAGACAGTTGTAATTCATTGTACATATATATATATGTAACTGTGTCAACGATCGTAATTTTATCAAATTTCACTTAATTTCATTTTAAGTTAAATTATATTGAAGTTAATCCATGATTCTTTTTAGCTTTCTCACGCGCTGAATTAACTATCTCATGAACGGTAGATTATAAAAATTTGCTGCCAAATAATGAAACTATTTTTTACACCTCTTGTGACGCACCTTGTCATCAAGAGATAAACGCCAAGGAAATCGAATCAAACTATTCCTTTAAGATCTGACAACAAATTTGTTCACCACCAGAAAATTAACCTGACCTTTCGCTTGTTTGTGAGGTGAAGAAGTTTGCGTTCCGGTTTACTTTTGTTTTGCACAAGGGTGAAAGAAGAATCATTTCAATTTAAAAACAAGATAGCCATTTCTGTGTTTTTATAATGCCTTAGACCCCATCAACACAACAACAACAACAACAACAACAACAACCATTTATTTGTACTCACAATTTATAAAATAATTACATTAAACATTAAATTAGTATAAAGTACTGCCTGCCCAAAATAACCATAAGGGCTAACAAGAATGGGCAGACATTAAGTTACATAGATTATTTATACAGTTGTCGGTCGGTAACACACTTGCACACACACACAAATATAAAGATACAAACAGAATGGAAGCTTACAGCGGAACAAAATATATCCTTATGAATTAATTAAAATAATTGTAATATTTAATATGAATCAATAAAGTGTATTTTTAATTTCTTTAATTGAAAATCAAGTAAAAAAAAAAAAAACACAGCTTTATTTCTACGGTTAGGCCTACCATCTACACTAATCCGTCACGAAAACGGAGCTTTTTTAAATCGGACGAATTTGAAAACGCCCGCTTTTCTGTGTAGTGTGAACCAAAACATTTGAAAACGGAGCTTTTCGAAAACGGGGACGTTACGATAATCATGTGATACCCCCACCGAGTTTTCCTCAAACACAATCGTTTCAAATTTCTCCGGTGTAGTGAGGACGGAAAACATTTAATGCGTTTTCAGGATGAAACCTCCGTTTTAAAATTTCTCCGGCGTAGCAAGGAGGGGGCCGTGGTGAAGATGAAAACTTCTGCCTGTGTAGTGATGTACGTGTTTGGAATAAAATTAACTCCTAGCTTGATAAGCAGATGTTGTCTTCGTGTATTGTCTTCGACAACGTTTCGGTTGTCTTTTGAGACACAATTGCTTTTTTAGAACGTAAAACAACATGCAAATTTTCGTGTTTGGAGGACGTCTGTTTTCCGCACTTTTTCAAGCGATTACCGTTCTTTTCACACAGTATGATAAATATCGTAGAACTCCACTGCGTTATATTATTAGATATAGTCCAATTGTTTTTGGTCGAATCATCATTTGAACATGTCTTCGTCAGTAGAGTTATAACTTCCCAAACTTCATTGTTTCGTTTACTGATTTGGGGGAGCCAAACGTTCACTGGTTATTGAGGAGAAGTTGAAGAAAGATAGGGTCGATATTACGGTTTAAAAGCTGCCTGGAAGGACGCAATCATTTAATATTCCGAAACGAAATACCCGTGGAATGAATGTAGAGCCAAAAAGTCCCATGCTTAACACATATTCCATAAGTATCCAGAAAATGTTAAAATATGAAGACAACTACTGAAGGCAAGCAATTTCCACCTTTGTCTAAAACGTGCAATGATCTATACAATTGTTTGGCTTAAAATCCAAAAAAAGAAATTATTAACGTTTGTTTGTTTGTTTGTTTGTTTGTTTGTTTTTAAGCCAATCTCCAAATAATAAGCAAACTTTAGATCAAACAAATTATCAAAATCGCAAATTACAATCTCATCATACCTCCCCGCCACGCTAACTTTGGATTCAGTGGGGCCAACAGCCTTTCCGTAATGTGGTTACGAAGCTTGGGTTTCCTGTGGTACACCTAATCCCTTTTTTCAGCTCTCCACCGTCTGGTTCTAAATGATTCTTAATCTTATCTGAATGGCCGTTACTAGAAATAATTAGTTGTACTAATCGGCATTTCCTATCTTGACGCGTCGGCTGATTTATATTAAACGGAAAAATATCACCCCGCATTTAATTCTACGATCGCCGTTTCAAGACACGGATGTTTTTCGAAACTGGAACTGCCATAACGAACCGTTGTACAAGTCAACCACGCGATCAAGACTGTTTCTTAGTTTTCCTGTAATTTACGGTTGATACTAAATCTACTATTGTAGGATTTGTTGAAGCAATCACTGAGGAGAAAAGGTAATTTTCATCATTTCAATTTCATTCTTCATCTATCCATCTCGCGTTTTTCAAAGTAATGAGCAAACCGAGTTATTACTAAAATTAAATTTTAGTTGCTTTTTTAAGTGCATTACTGATGTAGCTAAAACAGTTAGCTTCAGGTCGGTGTTTTTGCCGCAAAACATACGCGAAGCTAAGGTACAGGCGCCGATCTTATTTTAAATTTGTCTCGACACGATAACTGAATATCATACTACTTAACTATTTAACAATATACGAAATTATTTAGTTAGGTTGCAGTAGGAATATCACCAAAGGGATTTTTGCATTGGCAAGTCCGCCAGGAACGTCGAAAACCCCTTCAAGGTACAAAATAGGCAGATAAGGCTAAATTGCAATCGGCCAGCATAAAAAAGTAGGATAAAATTATGTAACACCATATTTAAAGAAAAAATGTTTTTTATTCATTTGCGCTCTCATCAGTGTTGTTTAATTTTCTTGTTGGCTCTAGCGAAAAATATTTTGATCGACCCTCAATTTTTCTCAAAAGCATCAATGCAAAGCCAGATGAAAAAAGAAGTTCTGTCGGGCCAATGTCCGCTTATTTTCACAGGGACTGCATTTATAATTGAACGCGAATGCATTTACTTTAAAAACATATGCCGATCATAAAGGAAGTAAGAATAGAAGGGTTTGGCATTCAGAGTAAGGAACTAACAGCTTTAAAAGAATGCAAATGTTGAAACTTGATTGAATTGGGTATCATGATGGGGCGGTAGCTGACCAAATGAATTATCCTTTTAAGGAACTTCAATTGTGTTAGTATAGTTCTATCTCAATTCAAATAATGATTTTCAGTTATTTTTATGTCGCGCGTGGACTTCATTTGAGAGTTGCAGCTGTGCAGCAGCACTCATCACCTCATTTTTCTAATGATTTACAGCGGATTTTCTTCTTTTAGTCTTCTCGGGAACTGAATTATCAAGTAATGTTTCTACATTATCCTACCTAAACTTCAGAAAAACGAGAAAATATCTCAACAATTGAAAACGTTTTCTAGACACTGCACTCTAACGACTGATGATATCGAGAGTTCATAATGTAATTGTCGATTATTTTCCGTGCCATCTTTTCAATTTGCCAATTCCCCTTATAGAATATGTCGCACACAAAACTTGTACTTGCTCTATTGGGTCCTAGAGTCCTTTTTTTATTATCGGAGTTTTGTAGTATTTTCATTCTTCCAAATGATACGGTTTAAAAATGCTTTGGGAACTGTGCTGACATGACGCAGAGCCGACAGTTTCTATCTTCAGATTGTCAAGTTTCAGGCGTCAAAACGAAAGTGGGCTTCCCCAATATATAGGTCGATATAAGAAAGCTCTGGGTGGCTAGTTTGTAACTATAGTTGATTACCGCCTCTTGATCTTGGCTTCATCATTTTCCAGTTGTAAAGGCTCCCCCTCATTGCAACATTTTGGATCAAATTCGTCTGGCAACCGAATTACAATGTGTTCCTGTTTACTTCGCAGCAGACCTGTTTAAAGGGCAGCCTACGCATTAAACATGAATTCAACACCATTTGAATCGGTGCCATTTGAGGCAGAGCCCACCCAACCGTCAACAGAAAGTCACAGTTTCCAAGCGTCTATTCAAATAGTCGTGAACTTGGTTTTCGTGGTTCTTGGTATTCCAGGCAACGTTTTAGCTATAATATTCGTCTGGAAGAAAAGTGATGGTTCTCTCTCACCCATAATCCCGTTCCTACTCAACTTAGCTGCGGCAGACCTACTGGTTCTTACCGTTTACATTCCATTTTACATCGCCTACGAGGCCGCAGAATTTGAATGGCCATTTGGCGCTGTCCTCTGCAAAGCTGTTTTCTCATTGACGCACATCTGCATGTACGCCTCGCTGGCGACACTAACGGCAATAGCTGTTGAGAGATATTCAATAACATTTTGCGACGGGATCAGAAGAAAAACTGTCAAATATGTCATCGTTATCATTTGGATCACTGCTATTTGTCTCAGTATTCCTCAAATGGTCTATCTAAAGACAATTCAAATTGATCCTTTTGAAGAGTTCGAAGAAGGCGAAGAAGAGTTATTGGAAGGGGGAAGGATGGAACAAGAAGAAGCCAGATACATCTGCGAGATCGAATGGCCACACCCAAATTTGGAGAAAATCCTCCAACCTATCGACGCAGTTATTCTGTATTTAATTCCGCTATCTTTTATTTTTGTTATTTATATTAAGATTATCACCAAGCTGCGCTCGATTGATCGTAAACAACTCCCTCCCGCGCGTTTAGTTTTTGTGAAGCAGCGGCAGCGCGCGGTTTGCAAGATGGCCACCGTCATCGTGATCTTTGCATTATGTCACCTTCCCATTCACGCGTTCCATCTTCTCCGCGTGTTCTTCTTTGAATCCTGGCTCGTTCTCGTGTCCGCGTACCCGTGGATTTTCACACTGCCCGTCAACCTAGTGCTCGTGACACACGTGGTGAACCCGCTGGTCTACGGCTCACTTCACCACTGCTTCGTGTGCGGCGTGCAATTTCTCCAATTAATGTGCACGGATTGCCGCTTCAAACCTGCAAAGGCTTTTTCCCTTCTCATTCGTAAGAGCAACACTCAACAAACCCCTCTTAAGAACAAACGGAGTTCTGTGCAAAGATAACAGCCTTTATCACCGAGATGTACGGAAACATTTTACATAGAACCGCGAGGAAACACTTTTAGGGCCATCTACGTCGATACTACCTTTCTCGTTATAAGCATCAATTTACCTGAGAACAATAATTCCATGCTAGAACCCTAAAGATATAATAAATTAATATGTGTGGCAAATATAAGAGAGATGCCGTGAGTTGAAAATTAACCGAAATATTTCCTTTCAGAAAAAAAAAAGCATCAAATTCCAATCGCTGCCATTTTAAATTTCTGTCAATTTTCCAACTTTTAAAGTCGTTTCAATCTGATTTCGGTCCATTTGTTTTCGAACTTGGCATGAAAGCTCGGTTCTTAATGCTCCTTTTCCAAATGATATTGCAGTTTCTTTATTATTAACCTTATTCTAAATTCTGCTTAAGAACATTGACGTCAGAAAACTAAGCGCTGAATTTTGGCACACTTTGCGTCGCCCAAGACACTAGGGACCTTAAGCACCGACGACGACGAGCCCAGAGGACGACGACCGGAAGTAAAATTTCCCCTTACCGCGCTACTGCGCATGCTAGACTCGTCGTCCA